CACACACACACACACACACACACACACACACACACACACACACACACACACACACACACAGAGAGAGAGAGAGAGAGAGAGAGAGAGAGAGAGGACGTGGGGGGAAAGGAAGGGAATGGGTAGGAGGAAGGGCATGAGGAAGTGGAAGAGAGGATCAATTGGAAGATCATTAGGAGGAAGAAGAGCATGAAGAGGAGGAAGAGCTTGAGGAAAAGGAAGTGTGTCATCCCGTGCTAATCTTCCCTGTGGCTATCCAATTCAAACAGAGGGAGAAAAAACAAAACCCAGCCCAATTAATCGACAAATGAGAGCGTGAGCAGGAGGGACAGTGAAATAAAGAGTATCGATCCAATTGAAGAGCACGAGGAAGGCGAAGGAGGGTTGGCTCAGTTCTGGAAGAGGGTTGGCACAGTGAGGGAGGAGGATCACTGCAGTGGAGGAGGGTTGCCACAGTTGGGGGGGAGGAAACCACGCAGAAGGGGAGGAGGTATGGTGGAGGGAGCAAGGAAACCGAGTGGCGGTGAGAGTAGTTAGGTGGAAGTTGGGAGGAGGTCGAGAGGTGGTTGGGTGGAGGGAGCACGGAGGGAAGCCCGGAGGGACAGGGGAAAAGGTGGATGGAGGGGAGGAGATGCGATGCATCGCCTTGGTTCAGGGTGAATCGTGTGTGTGTTTTGTGTGTGTGTGTGTGTGTGTGTGTGTGTGTGTGCTGTCTCTTATACACATCTATATGTGTTCTCTCTCTCTCTCTCTCTCTCTCTCTGTGTGTGTGTGTGTGTGTGTGTGTACGCGCCTCGTGAACTTGGGTGCTTTGTGATCCATTGCGTGGTGCTTCGTGCTTCATGTTTCGTGAATGGGTCCTTCGTGCGTCGTGAATTGGTGCTTTGTGAATTGGTGCTTTGTGCTTCATGCTTCGTGATTCATGAATTGGTGCTTGGTGCTTTATGCTACGTGAAGTTTGATGTGGATTCCTGTTCTGTGAGCTAGAGGCTTTGTCTGTTTCTTGAACTTGAATGACTGGGCCGAAGGCGTGTGCATTGTTGGTTGGAGGCTTCGTCGATGTGGCTGACTCAAGTGAGCCTTTCTCTCTCTCTCTTCATCACCTCCAACCCATGCTCCAACACCCAGAACCTTCCCGCTTATGACCGTGCTGCCCCACCCGCTCACTGCTGGCCACCACCTGTTCGCTGCTCAAACGCCAGTGAAGATTTTATTTTTTTCCCCTCCTCTCCCCCTGTTGACTTCAAGCTGTTTTTTGAGAGAGAGAGGGAGGCACCAAAGGCATCATCGCCATCCCTCGGCCCTCCCTCGTTCCCCCCTCCTTCCTCCCTCCTCCCTCCCTTCCTCTTTCCTCCCTTCCTCCCTTCCTCCTTCCCCCCTCCTTCCCCCCTCCTTCATCTCTCCTCCCTCCCGTCCTCTTTCCTTCCTTCCGCCCTCCCTCCTCCTTGTCTCCTTTCCCCCCACCTTCCTTCGTTCGCTGCTCAAAGTCCAGTGAACATTTCCTTATTTTCCCCTCATCTCCCCCTGTTGACTTCAAGCTGCTTTTTGAGAGAGAGACAGAGGCACCAAAGGCACCATTGCCATCCCTCCTCCCTTGGCCCATCGTCATCCCTCCCTCCTTATTCCTGCCTCGGCCCCTCCCTCAGCTCGCGCCCCTTCCTCCTCCCTCAGCCCTCCCTCCTTCCCCCCTCCCTCCTCCCTCCCTTCCTCTTTCCTTCCTTCCTCCCTTCCTCCTCCCTCCCTTCCTCTTTCCTTCCTTCCTCCCTCCCTCCTCCCTCCCTTCCTCTTTCCTTCCTTCCTCCCTCCCTCCTCCCTTCCTTCCTGTTTCCTTCCTTCCTCCCTCCCTCCTCCCTGTCTCCTTCCCCCCACCTTCCTTCCTCGCTCCCTCCTTCCTCTAATGGCCTTACCTTCCCCCTCTGTCCCTCGCTCCCACCTTCCTCTAATGGCCTTACCCTCTTCCCTTCTTCCTCCCTCTCTTCTGTCTCCCTTCTTTATGCCTGACCTAGAGAGTGCATTTCATTTTTCGTTCTTCTCCCAACTTATGCAAATGGCACATTTTGTTTCTTGTGTGTAAGACACACACACACACACACACACACACACACACACACACACACACACACAGAGAGAGAG